ATAACCCTAAAGCTAAGCAACTAACCTAAAACTAAAGCTAACCAACTAACATAACCCTAAAGCTAACCAACTAACCTAATGCTAACCAACTAACCGCACCCTAAACCTAACCAACTAACCTATCCATAAAATTAACCAACTAACCTATAACTAACCAACTAACCTATAACTAACCAACTAACCTGACAACCTGCCCTAAGGCTAACCTACTAACCTTACCCCAAAGCTAACCATCTAACCTAACCCTAAACCTAACCACCTGCCCTAAACCTAAACCTAACCACCTGCCCTAAACCTAAACCTAACCACCTACCCAAACCTTAAAACCTAACCACCTAACCTAATCCTAAACCTAACCATCTACCATAACCCTAACCAACTAACCCTATCCCTAACTTCTGGACCTCTTTGTGAACTCTTTGTTTCTTTCTGCTCTTAGACTTACTCTAAACCTAAACCTAACCCTAAACATAAACCAAATCCTAAACCTAACCGACCATCAATTAATTTCAGGATGAACCTTTAGGCCCAAATCATGAAAACAGCCGTCTTTTCTCTGCCTGAAGTTTAAAAAAACCCACAAACTGCTGCTGATGATTCGTCTAGAGCTCGTTTACTTTCCTCCATCTTTTTTTTTGGAAACAGGGATTCTCCCAGAGGTCAAACCTGAGCTGGGTTTTGGGTTTTTAGGGGGATAAAAACCTGCTGAAGCTCCTCAGAAAGAGAATCGTGGAGATCTTCTGCTACCTTGAGTTTCTGGATCTTTCCGGCCAGAGAAGAGTGAGTGCCGACGTGCTGGAAAAGCGACGGCTTGAAGCGGATCCTCAGGTTTGCCTTCTGCCGGTCGCAGTGTTTCTGAGGAGACAGGCAGCCGCTTTAGATGTTAGAAATCGGGAGATTTGAGCATAAAAATGCAGCTTAGAACGAACCCCAGAGGTTAGCTTGTAGCCTGAAGCTAAATCTGACTTCTGGGAAGGTGTTTATCAGAGTAGTGTTAGCAGGAAGAACCCCATTTATGCTTAAGAGCAGCCCCAAAGACGCAAGCTAAAAGCTAATACAT